TTTCGACATCAGCAAGTTCTACGAGGATAGACCACGACATCCTCATGCGAGCCGCCGAGGCGCAGGGCCTCAGCACAGGGTTGGTGAGAGCGCTGCGCGTAGCCCATCCGGGCCCGAGGCGAGCCACAGCCGACAGGGCGGTGGGCGAGGTCATCTCCGCGCGCGGGACCGACATCGCGGGCTGCGCCTGCGCCGCCACCATGGCACGGCTCATGTTCCACTGCCTGTCGGACCAGGGGCATGCTCTGCTGCCTGTCGGTAGAGTGGTGAACGTGAGGGACGACGTCGCGGGCCACGGCGTCGGGCCCCGCGCGGCGCTGGTCCGCCAGATGGCCAAGTTCGTGGACGGAGTGGTCGCCGTGCTAGAAAACAAGAAACTCCCGCCCAACTGGAGCAAGACCAAGGTGCTGGCGTCATCGGCCGAGCTTCAGCGGGCCCTGCTCGACCGCCCGCAGTGGACCCCCCGCCGCGATCTTGGCGGATGCACCGCAGCGGGGGGGGCCCGCAGGGTGGCAACGCAGGTTTCCCGAGAGCTCGACGCGCTGGCAGGCGGCGCGGCGCGCCGGGATCTTCGGGCCTGGGCTGCGCCAGTCGCGCATCGTGCGCGCGGTCCCCACGGCCAAGGCGCTCAGGTAGTCGGCCACTTCTGGCACTCCCCGCCGGGATGAGGGCCCTCCGCATAGCGGCGGCGAGGTGCGCTGTGCGCCTTGCGCCTGGAGCGGCGCTCAGAGTCGGCTTGCAGCGCGCTGAGAAAGGCTCGACAAGACCCACTGGTCGTTGCCACCGGAATGGCGGTGCAGGCCCACGTCAGTTCGCGCTGGTCGGGCCAAGCCTTATAGTCAAAGCCTGCTTGCTGGAGGGCGCCCGCCTCAGCAGCTGCATGAGGCCCCAGCCCGCAGTCAGGGGCTCGATCGCGGCGCTCGCGCTGACCCCAGAGCGCATAGGGCGGCGCCTTACGGCCAATGGGGACAGTCGAACTTATGAGATCGGATGCACGTTCGACGTCTCGGGGTTTCCCCGCGCTTTCCTGGCCGAGGAAGCTCGCGAGGCCACCGGGAAGGCAGCGTCGCCGGCGCAGATCCGCGAGCGACTTGGGTCTCTCTGGCCGTGGCGGCTCGCGCCGGCTTGTCGGCCGATCAATGATCTCCTCCTGCAGCCGAAGACGGAAGTCTGGACGACGCACCATTGCGGCTGCCTCCGCTGTTGAGTCACGCTCGCGCGTTGGCCCCGGGCGAGGCCGGCCGAGCACGAGTCCGGCATCGACCCGAAGTGCTTGCTGCGCGGGGAAGAGGATGGCGCGGTCTTCCACGGGCGCCATCGCTGTCCATGGCGGCGCGACATGCTGCCCCAGGACCTGCGGCGCGCGACCGAGACGGCCCGCATGCTGGGCCAGGCGGCCGGCCCTTGCTCGAGCGATTCGGGATCATCCCTGATCTGGCTCTTTGTGGACTTGGCGCTCCTGCTGCAGCGGCCGCGGTGGCAGCCCCGGCGGGGGCGGCGCGCTCGAGGCCGGGGCGGCGCGCTGGCGGCCCCCGAGGGCGCCCACGTCTTCATTGACGGGCCGTGCATCCACGCCGACTTCCCGCACCTGAGGCGCGCTGGGCGGGCGGCGATCGTTCCGACGCCGACCTGCGAGCTCAGTGCTGAAGCCTGGGGCGCCGTTCCCCCAGAGCTGCCGCCCTCCCAGACGGCGCGGGCCGGGGAAGACTACGCGGCAGCGGCGGCCCTCGCGGAGATCATCGGCAGTCTCAGCTGGCCCATCGACTGCGCGGGCGCCGCCAGGCCCGCGCAGCACCCCGAGGCGGCGCAGGGGCCCCGCGGCTTTCAATGCGCACCTCTGGGCCAGGGTGGCCGACGCAGCCGAAGGGGTCGCCGCCGGGCACATCCACGCCCGCTGCTCGGAGGCAGCGGCGAGCTCATCTGCTCGAGCCGCGCGGCAACAGGCTGCCGGATGCGCGGGCCGAGGAGGTGGCCAAGCTGCAGGCGCAGGCGCCAGAAGACGACCGCGCGCCCGCGCTGCAGGGGCGCCTCGCCAGCGCCGGGCGCGCCGCCAGATTCGCTGCGGAGATGGAGGCCCGCGTCGCAAACTCGGGCCTGCGCGACGCCTGGCCCCGGGAGGCGCTCGAGAACATCGACCTGGGGCCCTGCGTTCAGCGCGACCCGGTCGCCGCGGGAGAGTCCTCTACCGCGGGGGGCTCAGGGGTCTCGGCCGCCGCCGCGGGCGCAACGGCGGCGGCGGCTGCGGCAGCGGCGCGCGCGGGCACCTGAGACGGCGCGGCGTGTGAGCCCAGTGCTGCCGAGCGGAGGTCGGCCCGCAAGCGCCCCGCGGCGGCCTTGCCCCTGCCCTGCCCCGATAGCTCTGCGCTGCAGCTTGGACGGGAGGACCCTCCTCTGCTCGGCCGCCCCCTGCTCGGCCGCTCCCTCCTCGGATGCGGCGGCGCCCCCCCCAGCGGGGCCGAGGCCTTTGACGGGCCCGGTCGTGGGCCAACTTCTCATGCAGGCACAGGTGCTCGGCCACGCTTCCGAGGTGATGCTCGTGCAAGCGGTGCTTCAGTCTCGCTGTGCGCTCCGCGGCCTGACCACGCCCTGCCATGGGGCTGAGGTCCGATCCAAAGAGGGTTCGAGGGCCCAGGCCCGCAACGACATCTCTAAAGGCACCGGTCCTGGGGGCGACAAACGGGAGCTCAGTGCAGTGCGTTGCTGCCGCCTTCGGTCCAGACTCGCGCGCAATGGGCGAGCGCCCTCAGTGTCACGGCAGGTCTCCAACCCAATCGGTTGGCGGTTGTCCCAGGCTGAGGAGGCGGAAGGCCCAGTTCTTCCGACCCGTCCCCGTCCCCCAGCGAATGTGACGGGGCAGCAGGCCCTCGCACTGCCAGGGGTGGGCGGCGCTTTGGCTTCTCATGGCTTCGCATCGCCTGAGGAGGCGATGGGGCGAGGCCGCAAGGCGGTTAAGTCCAGGGCCGAGAGAGGTGCCAGAGTTGCACGGGAGAGCTAGGGCCTGTGATTTAATTTCCCTTCGCGGGGATGTGGCGGCCCGCCAAGTATGCCAGATCCACCAGCGTGCGCTTTGACAGGCGGGGATGTGGCGACTTGGCGATAGCGCGAATGCCGCCAGCATGAATGATCGGATGCATGCAAGTCTTCCGACGCGGAGATATAAACACATACCTTGACCGTATGTCGAACAACAGAGCAACACATAAACATGCATGATCGGATCTCTGCGCGGATGTCATAGATCCGCGCTGGAGCCCCTTGGTGGCGCTTCCAGCGCCGCCCCTGGCGAGCTCCGCGCGCCAGGACGGGGGTTCAGCGCACACCCACCAAATCCGCGCGGACTTCCAACAGCTTGCGTTTCTGATTTTTTCCCAGTAGCATGAAAGTTGAAACTGTGACATTCTCGAGGCAGCCACGTTAGTAATCAAGACCGCCCCATGCCGAACCGAACGTTCTTAAGGCTTGCAGACAAGGTCGTGGCACGGCATGTGAGGAGGAAGGAGGAGATAGGGCACGGTTTGGGAGGATATCTGAATTCAGAAAAGAGGAGGGAGAGGAGGAGGAGAGGGAGGAGGAGGAGGAGGAGGACGGAGCAGAGATGAATTTAAGAGGTAGGGGAAGGGAGGAGGAGGAGAGAACGGGGAAACGAGATGATCGAGAAAGGTTCAGGGAGGGGAAGAGGGAACAGAGAGTGGGGAAAAGGGATAAGGGAGGAGGGCCTTCTGGGACCAGTTTCGGGGCTCGCGCGAAGAAATGATCGGATGTGGTTCATGTTATCAGGCAGGGCGTCACACATCGCTTTCTGGAAGGGCCCCAGGCCCCACGAACAATGAGTGCCAGTGAGCTGCCGCAGCTCCAGCGAGCTAGGCGTCTGCAGGTTGGCGCAGGAATACGTTCGATTTGTTGCAGTGCGTCCCAGAGGAACGCTTTCGGAATGGACGCGGCGCCCCATAACATTCTCCGAATCCACCAGCTCTCAGAGATCCCCGAACTATCTCAGTCCTATGTTTTATTACGTATTATTGCCGTCGTCTTAGCCGCTTCCGGTGCCCAGGAAGGGGGGGCGGGGGAGGGGTATTGATTGTTTTCCAGCGTGAATGCAATGGGGTCCCCCGCAGGGGCACAAAGATGCCTCGCTTCGCGCATCCTGGCTTGGTTTGGAAAGACGCTCTTGTCCAGGACGGCGGCGCGAGGGCGCGACGATAACCGCGCGTCGCGCGAGGCGCGAGGCGTTCATTGAGGCGGCCTAGACGCAACGACTCCGAGCGGTCGGCGAGGGTCGACGACCGGATAGGCAAGCCAGCACCGTGAGCCAAGCCATGTGCGTCTCCGTCTCGCGAGCCTGCATCGTGAGCCAAAGCTTGTGCGTCTCACGGGCCAGAGGCGTGCTAAAATCTAGAGTAAGAGTTTAAGAACGCTTCTAGTTCGCGCGCGCGTGGCAGCCCCTTGGGGTCCCCAGACGAAAAGTACCCCGGCCAGGTCCCGGCAAGGTCCCAGCAAGTCCCAGCAGGGTCGGGTCAGAGATGCCGGAACTCTCGGGCGCGGCTTCGGGGGCCCCAGGAGCGCCCCATGGGTGGCAGGCCCCCACGGCCTCAGGCCAAGAGCGGCCCACGTTGGTCCCAAGACGGCCCAAGACGCTCCAGGAAGGTTCCAATAGGACTTCGCAAGTGAGACCCCGAAAATGCAAAAATCATTGATCTTGCTTTGGTGTTCGGACGATTTTGGCGGTACCGCCTTTTCGAGCTGCCGACCGCCCTGGTCGGCCCAAGAGGCCCCAAGATCGTTCCATCTCGAATTCCGGGGGGAAACACCCCGACCCCCAGAATTGGCGCTTACGAATCAGTCCTGGGCGTTTACTACACAGTCCTGCCCTGCTCGACTCCTGGAGGTGCGTTTACTGGATGGCTTCGCATGTCGGGATGCTAATGTGAGTCTGCTTCTCCTGCCTTTACGGACGGCCGAGGGTGGTTCTGTCTGCCCGCCCGCTTGGCCGCCGAGCCGAGGCGCAGGGCTGCCCCAGCGGGCAGTGGAAGCCCCCCGCCACGGCGCGCCCGGCGCCGCTCAGGCGCCGCCGTCGTCGGGCGTCGGGCCGTCGAGCTCGCGCGGGGGTCGTGCGGCCAGCGGCGCGCGGTGGCGTGCTTTCCGAACTCTCACTTGGGAAAGCCACCACGTTGATTCCTCCCGCTTCGCGGGGTGCACGCTCGGACTGCGGAGAGCACGGGAGTTTGGGGCGTCCTGGGAGTTTTGTGAGTTTCTTGGGGGTGTTGGGGGTGCTGGGGGGCCTAATGGGGCCTTGTGGGATCCTTTTGGATCACGTTGCTGCTTCCTTGGCGCTTCCGGGCGTTTCCGGAGGGGGACGGGTCTGGGTCGTTTCTCAGGGTCTGGCTGGAGTGACAGGTGCTCTCCGTTCGTCGCGTCATCATCGCGTTTCTATGGTTTTCTTGGGATGTAGTACATGGTTGCCCTGGGATGTTCCAGGGACCAGCTGATTGATAGGGGAAAGGGAGGACAGCAATTGGGTCTTGGAGTTTCTTTGGGGTCTTGCCGGGGGGGGTCGTGGGTGTGGATCGGAAGTTTCTGTTGGGTTATTTCGCGCTTGCGTCCAAGACTTGCGTTCGTTAGGCTGTACTCTTCTGGGTACTCCATTCAAATGTCCAATGCCATCCCGGGGTCCAACCGCACAAGTTTCTCAAGCCCCGTGCAGCCGTGAAGAGAAGAGGGCCCCCGAGAGCCAGGCGCTTCACTTGGAAATGGCCAGGGTCGAGGCCTTGAGTGGGAGATGCGGCCAGACGCTTCGTGTACGCCCGGATCTGCGACGCGGCCGGGGCTCAAAGACCACTGGCCCATGTGTTTCGCTTGGTGGAATGCATTTGAATTTCTGTTCGATTGGCGAAGAATTTGAGGGTGCGACGAGCTAGGGCGGTTGTGATTGTCACTGCTGTATACATGGGCTAACTATACTGCTAATGGGTTGAGTGCGTGTTTTTGTGCTCCCCGTTTCCTCCCTGCCGCTTTCGCCTTTGCGCTCGTGAGATAGAGCGCCTTGTGCCTGGATTTCCGGGCCCTGGATTTCGCGCGTGAGTTTCGAAGATGTTCGACCATCATTCTGGGAGCACATCTTCGGACGTTTTCGCAAAATTGTTGTAGAAACTCTCACGCGGCCCGAACTCGCCAGTCGCGAGCTGCCTCCAGTCATCGTGGGGAGGATTTCCCCAGTTGCGTAGAAACGTCGAGACTCGCCCGTCGAGGTCCGAATCTCGGCCTGAAGGAACGGCGAGGACGAAGAGGAAGATAAGAAGGGATAGGGCGCGGATGGGAATCAGGATGACGACGATGAGGGGGATAAGGAGAATGAAGAGTATGGGAAAAGAGGGCATCGAGGAGGCTCTCCTCATGAATTTGCATTAATGTTAATTGTTTCACGCTGCATTAGACGAATGGTCATCGCATTGCAATGTTGCACGGCCGCTTTGGAAACATGTAAGCATATGGAAGGTGTGGGCGTCGGTTGGCGCGCCCTGCTCGGTTGCCGCGCGCGCGAGCCGCTCCTTTCGGCCATTTCGGGGGCTTTGGGGGTGCCTCCCCGGGGCCTTCGGGGGGCGTCTCGGCGGCCTCCTGGGGGCCTCTTGGGGGCGACTTGGGCCGTTCGGGTGCGCTCTTGCACCGTCGAGACCCTTTCGGCGGCCGCCTTGGGGGACATGGGGCCGCCTCGGGGCTCTCTCGGGGCCCTTTTGGGGGCCTATTGGAGGCCTATGCAGGGCCGCTCGGAGCCTTTGGGGGGCGTCTTGGGGTGCCATTGGGCCACATCGGTGCCCTCTTAGGGGCGTTGGGGCTGTCTGGGCGCCAGCTCGGAGATTCGGAAAAGGCGAAACGTTAAACATACAAAAACCAACAGAAAATCCGTCGCGAGGCCGTCATGAGCCGTCTTGAAGCCCCCTTAGACCTCCAGGAAGCCCGAGAGGTCGAGATTTCCTATGTCTGAACGTTTCGGCACGCTTGACCCCCAGAATGGGGGTCGCCAGATTTGGTCCGACGACGCGGCGCGACCACAAAGGGGGTTAGGGAGACAATAATGCAGAACAGTATATAGTATACAGATATTGGTTATATCAGTATAAATATATGTGTGTATGTATATATATATGTAGAGAGAGACAGAGAGAGAGAGAGAAGGAGAGAAGGAGAGAAGGAGAGAGAGAAGAGAAAGAGAGAGAGAGAGAGAGATCAAATGTGCGATCGTGGGATACATCGGATACGTTGCATTTGGGTGTCCGCATCGCTCCGCGACCTGCCTCCGGCAACACGTCACTTCCGGACGTGGATAAATCAGTTCACGCCGCATCGCCGATCCATGGGAGACCTGGATGCCACTATTCTGGCGGGCGTTATCGTAGCAGCGCTATGGCGTCGCGCGCCCAGCGGGGAACCCCCACACCATAGTCAAACGAGGCCTTGTTGGGTAATTTGGGGGGCGTTCGGGGGCCTCGTGGGAGCTTCTTGGGCCCAGTTAGATTTTTCCCGGGCGCACGCGGGCCTCTTCGGGGGCCTCTTAGGCCATCTCGAGCGCCTCTGAGGCCGTTTTTGGGCCCTTCGGGGAGCCTTGCTGACTGTTTTGGGGCGGTCGTGGGGCTTCGTGGCATGTCGCGAAGGCTGTGAACATCGAAAAAGCGAATATGTAAAAAATGCAAAGTCTCCCATCAGAATGGAAGAACTTGGTGTTCATGAGGCCCTGTTGGGCGCCTTCTTGGAGCGTTTTCGGGGCGTCTTGGGGGTCTTCGGGGGCGTGTGAAGCCCATCTTGGGACATGTTGGGGCAATCTGGGGCGACACGTAGGGGACATTGTGGAGGCCATCGGATGCCGTCCGGGAGCACTTCTGGAGCAGATGAGAGCCGCCTGCGTTTTGCCCCCCCCCCCCCCCCCCCCCCTACCCCCCTCTCCCCCCCCCTCCCCTTCCCGGCACCCTTCCAAACCGGCGGCCGGACATGGTTCTTGGAGATAGGGGTTGGGGAGGGGCAGCAGTCTCACACGCCGAGGAGGCTCCGATGGTTCGGCGAATTTGAAAACTCAAGTCATCCCTCAGTGCGTTCCCCTGGGATTTCAACATCAGCATGGCGTGTCTCCCACGGGACAGCCGCCAGGTCTACGATCTGGAATTTTCGGTTATTGTGTCGTTCCGCTGAAGACTGGCCCACCATGATTCGGCGCGACACGCTATTCACGTCGCGGTCCCCAGGCGTCATAGTCCAGAGTTTTCCCGAGCTTCCCGCACCGCGGAGCGGAGCGATACGCTATCCGCTTGCAAGGCATAGCGTGTCGCCCGGGCTGCCGCCGCGACACGCTCAGCAAAAGTTCCTGACCGTATGTGGACACCTAATTCGGAGAACCCTCATCGCGCCACTCTGGCCACTCTGGTGTCTGTGCCAAGATGGCGCACGGCGTAGAAACCAAACAACGAATAAATGGAAGATCGCCTGCAGGAAATATGTGTGGCGACTGGGAGGTCCTGGCACGTCCGAAGACAAGCATGTGGCTCGGAATCGTGAGTTGAACACGAGCATCAAGGGATCTGAAATTGAACCGCCCGCCGTCAAACGGCCTCCACGCCATGTCTTAATGGGCACGGGCGAGCTCCCCAGAGGAGTACGCACGACTCCGTCGTTCGTTTGTTCGTTCGTTCGCTTGTGTGGAATAAGAAACGCAGTCCCGATACGTACTTCCAGAATTTTGTACGACCAAACGGAAAACGCCCGTATGGCAAGCCAGATCAGATTTTGCGTACGCGAGCCGTTCGTGAGACTATGAGATTATTTTTAACCGTGCGCTGCGTGTCCCATCCTGAACACGCAGCCGCCATTACGCCGTCCCCCTGTTCTGTATCCCAAAAACGCTTCCGTTGGAGGCCCCTTTCAGCAGCCTGCTGCGTACACGCACCTTCCTCCTCCTCCTCCTCCTCCTATTACTGCTCTTTCCCTCGTGCTGTTCCTGAATCCTGCTGCTCCTCACTCTGTGAGCTCCTCCTCCTCCTCCTCAGACTACGACGACTACTACTACTACTGCTACTACTACTACTGCTACGACTACTACGACTACTACTACTACTACTACTACTACTACTACTACTACTACTACTACTACTACTACTACTACTACTACTACTACTACTACTACTACTACTACTACTACTACTACTACTACTACTACTACTACTACTACTACTACTACTACTACTACTACTACTACTACTACTACTACTACTACTACTACTACTACTACTACTACTACTACTACTACTACTACTACTACTACTACTACTACTACTACTACTACTACTCCTACGACTATGACTACTACTATTCTTACTACTACTACTACTACTGCTACTACGACTGCTACTATTACCACTACTAATATTATTACTTCTGCTACTACTACTACTACTAAAACTACTACTACTACTACTACTACTACGACTACTACAACTACCACTTCTACTGTCACAACTAGTACGATTACTATTACTGCTACTGCTACTACTACGATTACTACGATTATTAGCAGTAGTAGTAGTAGTACTACTAGTACTACCACTACTACTACTTCTACTACTAGTACTTCTACTGCTAGTATTACTACGACTACTACTACTACTACTACTACTACTTCTACTACTATTACTATTACTACTACGACTACTACTCCTCTTAGTTCGACTACTACTACTACTACTACTACCACTACTACTACTACTATTACGACGACTACTACTGCGACTACCACTATAGTTATTATTTCATCGTAGTTTACTATGGCTATGTTTTACTGCTACTGCTTGTGCTACCACTCCCACGACTACGACTACGACTACTATTACTACTACTAATACCTCTATTATCATCACTACTACTACGACTACGACTACTACTATCACGACTACTACTACTACTACTACCCGACCCCTACGACTACGACTACGACTGCGATTGCTAACCGTACTACTTCTACCACGACCACCCTTACTATTACGACGACTACTACGACTACTACTACTACTACTACTACTACTA